CAAAGTACATAGAAGCTTTTTCCTATATATTCCAGAGACATTGTAAGAGTATTTATAGGTGTGCCCGTTAATAAAGGAAAAAAACCACCTTTGTTAGCGTTAAAGTTACAGCATAAAACATGATATTATTATGTCAGGGAAGCAAATCGAAAAACTCGTAATTAGTATGCATAATATGTTAGGGGATATACAGAGGATGCAACGTCATGTTAGGTGTGAAACTACACATCTACATACTTGTGTTAGACTTACACAAAAACTACATACTTATTATATGTTAGAGTTACACACAAACGACATACTTGTGTTAGAGTTACACACAAACTAGGAAGCATATTACATAATGTATCACAAACACAAATCTTCATTACCATAAACTGTAGTGTGCTGTGAAGCTAGTAAAAAAAATGGGAAGAGTGTTAGATCGCGTAGTTCTAATAGAAAACGAGGATGTTACTAAAGTTTAAGAACAAGAAAAAGTTAGATCTACTAGATTTCCCACAAACAAACAAACAAACAAACAAACAAACAAACAAACAAACAAACAAACAAACAAACAAAACCAGTCATTGATGGAGTTGTTTTTTTTGTTATTGAATGAAACAAAGGAAAAGAGAAAACAGCAAGACAGGAGGGGGGGGGCAGGGGGGGGGGGTCTCAAACAGCGCATCAATTTGCACGGAGAAAGATCGGAAGACCGGAATAGAGAACGATGTAGAATGAAGAAGTGTTAATAAGTATAATAAATTATGAAGTGAAGATGAAAAACTTAAGATCAAAAGTTTACATCAAAATATGTAAATGAGTCAGATCTAGATGTTAAAATCATGAAAGTTAGTTAGACACTTCCGGAAAAGTAAAACTACACCTGCATGCATGCAATTCTCAGCTAAACACACAACCCAATCAGTTAGATCTAAGTAGACATCAGAATGTACAGATTAGACAGCAGTTAAAGACTGACAGTGAGAGAAATGCGTGCTGTGAGGGAAGGTAATGAGTTGTGCAAGTCAGTCGAATGTTAAATTTAAAGTGCTAATAATTTTTTTAAAAATTGTGCCAAATGTATACATGGCGATCTTGCCAAAAGTTAACGCTTCAGATGTGATACTCGAGTATCGTTGCATCATTCAATACAGATTCCTTAGTCAGAATTTGTAGTACATTCAAAATATTTCCGTATAAACGGTGTTAGGTTTTTGTAGTAAACTCATAATGGTTCCTTTTAAACTATGCTAGTTTTTGTAGAAAACTCACAATGGTTCCTTTTAAACGATGCTAGTTTTTGTAGTAAACTCAAAATATTAAAATTTCCTTTTAAACGATGTTAAGTTTTTGTAGTAAACTCAAAATATTTCCTTTTAAACGATGTTAAGATTTTGTAGTAAACTCAAAATGTGTCCGTATAAACGGGGTTAGGTTTTTGTAGTAAACTCAAAATATTTCGGAATAAACGATGTGAAGTTTTTTAATAAACTCAAAATATTTCCTTTTAAACGATGTTTGGTTTTTGTAGTAAACTCAAAATATTTCGGTATAAACGATGTTAAGTTTTTTTAGTAAACTCAAAATGTGTCCGTATAAACGGTGTTAGGTTTTGGTTTTCACTTTCGTCATCCCACCAACAAAGGCATACACTGCTCGCACCATAGACCTATAATTAGCCTAATAATAGGTCTATGGCTCGCACTTCTAAAGTGGTATGTGCGTGATCCGTGGACGAGAGGCAGAGGTACGTGTGCCTGTGCATGTGTGTCTATGTATGTGTGTGTGTGTGTGTATCTTTGCTGTTGTACAAATCTACACAGACTTAATGTGTGTGTATATTATATTTGTTGTGTGTACGAAGAAAATGAAGAAAAGAGGGAGACAGAGAACGAAAGAGAGAGAGAGAGAGAGAGAGAGAGAGAGAGAGAGAGAGAGAGAGAGAGAGAGAGAGAGAGAGAAAGTGTACGAAC